CTCAGAGTCCGAAGGTCTGGCGTTTCTACAATGAGAGGGACCGAAAGGCAAGAGGATGCCTCTTTCCTCATTTCCTTGACCTGCAATAGCTCTGAGCCCTCTGCCAGCTTACCCCACTGCATTCAATTTCAAATCACTTAACTTCACTGAAGTTATTCAAAGTGGAGATGCGGAACCCACTCTGGGATTGCAAGGAAATCCTGTCATCTGGTTTTGAGTTGGTAATGTTTTGACCGAGCTGCTCTCCGTTTAATTCTGTCTGACTTGGTGGGCTTTTAAAGTTCTACTGCTTTCTGGGGGAAGTTGGGTTGCCTAAGACCATCTTGTTTGGCCCTTTGAATCGTACACAATACAACATCTACCATGTGCGATGCTTTTCCAGAGAGGATTTAAAAACTCCGTTACAAATGTCAACTTCAAATTGCTAAAAATAGCATTGTTGAGGCTGACAGCTTGAAATAAAGGGGATCTTGAACTGAATGAAGAACAACTCCACAGAAATAAATGTTGCAGACAAACCGAATTTATATTAGGGACCAGTTAATGCAAAAACTGCCACTGAGGATAGACAGACATATCTGTGTCTTTACGTAACCACTGAAACTTTCTGGTAGTTGCAGTCATAGTTGTCATGAGAATGAAACACTCATATAAAAGCCAAACCTGACCACTGATTTACCAGACAGTTTGAATTGTTTTCTCTCTCTCTCTCTCTCTCTCTCTCTCTCTCATGATCTGCTTATTCAAAAGAATTAAATATTGTACTGGTAATCTTCCAAAATGATGGTTGAATTAAATGCTAGGAACATAGTTATGTAAGCCCCACTTGACTGTATTATTTTTTTCTATTTGGGTTTTTTTTTTTTTGAGGCAAGGTCTCACTATATAGCATGGGCTAGCTTGAAATTTGTGGTCCTCCTGCCTTAACCTCCTAAGTACGAAAATTATGGGTGTGGCCTGGGTGGCATTTTATATACATTCCTATCATTTTATATACAATCCAGTCTGGCTGGTTTGTCTCCCGCTCTTAGTTGGAGCAACCAGAGAGCAGAGACCGGAGTTACAAACGGTCTAGCATGTACGGGGCATTCTAAGCTAAGTGTGGCGCAAGTAAGTAAAGTACACGGACTCATGTAGTCAGGAAAACCAATGACTGTCACATGGAAAGGAATCTCTCCACAGATGAGCAGGCACTGGGTGTAGCATTTTTGTCTGCTACTATCCAAAGCAGCAAGTCACATATACACATAGTCTCTTCGACTTTTTTTAGTTTTTGACACTGCCAAGTGAATAGAATCTGGTTATGACTACATGAATTAATACTAAAATACAGGTGCTCATTCTGGGATTTTCTCAAATTGTATTTCAATAGGAAGACCACAGGCTAATAAATTTTTACAAGTCAGGGGACAGCTGAGGGCACAGCATTTATACTAGGGGCCAGATAATGCAATAACTGTCACTGAGAATAGACATATTTGTTTCTCTGCATAACCACGGAAACATCCTGGTAATTACATTCATGATCACCATGAGAATGAAAATTTCATACAAAAGCAAAAACCTGCCTGCACCCCCTTCAACCCTCTGAAGTTTTAAACACACAAAGCCAGGAGCAGTGGTGCCCACTAGCAGTATCTCAGGGGGCTGAGGCAGGTGGCTTGCTTGAGTTTATGGATTTGAGATCAGCCTGGGCAATATAAGGAGACTCCACCTCAAAATAGATTAATTAATAGACGAAATGAAGTATATTTTCAGAGGTATCACAATAACAAACTTGTGGCCCAATGTTCTAGCATCAACTCAACAATACCCTCCTGAAAGTTGTGTATTTCGGTAGTGTGCTGATCCTGACCACTTCCTCTCCATTCCTCCATTCAATACAAGATAATAATATCACATAACCTACTACCTATGCACTTCCCTGAATAATGTGAGGGTAAGATTGTGATATGGAAAATCAATATGGAACAAGCTTCTCTGGGAATCTGTATCAAATTAATTATTGTGAGAAAGGGACTAGCAATATATCAACATTATGAGTAGGTGTTATTACCAATGTAACTATTGACTGTGCTGCCCCGAGCTCCAGGCACCACGGAATGTTTATGTGAACATGGATCCTGTCTGTGCTTTTGCTTACTTCCTTTTAGCATTTTATTCCCATCTGCATACTAAAGAACAGTGGGTCATCGAGTGGTTTATAGCCACTCTGGCCACCATTCTCAGGCTTCTGAGGGCCTGCCAGGGTTTTCTGGCCTGAATGGATATGAGGACATGAACGCCTTTTTAAGCAAGCCCAGAAACCTCTTTCAAAATTCCATCCAAGTGAAAGGAAGGCAAAAGATAGAAATTCAGTTTTTGAGAAATCTAGGAACCATGAATGTGATATGAAGAGCATACAGCTTAAGGGACTTGCTTGGCTTATAACAAACACATTTACACTTGGACCCATTAGCAGTTATCGAACTTCCAACTCAAAACTCTTTATTAAAATTATGGATATGAGTTGTTAAATGCAATGTAAGGAGTTCAGTTTTCTAACAAGAAACGATCTCTGATTGTAGAACTTGGATTCTCCCATTAAATCTCTGTGA